GGGAGGGGCCTGCCAAAGAAGGAGGTCATATTGGGGGGAAAAGGCCATTCCCACCATAGTCACATAAAAAGTAAGATGAGGTTTCCGGAAAGAAACATGAGGCTGGGCAAACCAACATGGTGTCCAGTAAGTACACACCTCTCACTCTTTCTTAAAGAGGCAGCCACATGAACATAGAGTTCAGGTCTCAGAATGTACACCTTGTCCTTGGGTTCTAAAGTCATATCCCAAAGCACGGAGTAGATGTCATGACAATCTGGTTGGCTCCCAGAGATGAAAGGCTGACCCAACTCTCCTGGAATTTGAATTTGTGATTCTTTGAAGTAAAGAGATATTAAAGTTGATACCAAGATGTCTAAGTCACCTTCCAAAATTTCATATATCCCCAGGCCAAGCTAGCAAAATTGCTACAGCACATCCTTTTCAACAGGTAAAGAGCTGATAACACAACCATGTCTCCAGTCATCCACTGCTCTTTCTTTCCCATCTTACCCTTTTGGGGAAAGGGTCAATGCCAAGTTAGTATTTTTATGCTGTGCATAGCACTGCTAATATTCCATGCTGGACAGTATTTTCCCAATATTTTTTATAGTGCCAGGCTTTTCTTAGATTTTATGTCATACAATACTTAACTTGTTTGGAGTGGGTGGAGATGGAAACAAAGTCTATTGAAAACATCACTGCTTCCTCCCTAAAATGTAAAGAGACTATTATCATCTTTCTTTTAGCTTCTCTCTCTCAGGAAAAGTCTCATAAAGATAGGCAGGGAGAAAAGAAGGCATTATAATACCCAGAGGGTGAGCTTCTGCTAACTGAATACCATGAACTAGTCCTCTATAAATAACCATTCAGTAAGGCCCAGCTTCCACTTATGGTAAGGGAAGGGCACCCATCCTCCTAGTTAAAAGTACTCTGCCCCAAGGCACTGCCTTACCCTCTAAACCAGCGTCATCTACCACCATCTGGGATCATAAGCAGCTCATCAACTATTGCTGTTGGAAAGAGATTTGGACTCTGAGGCACCAGATGTTTTACCTCTTCGGGAGGCGAGATAGCAGAGTGGCCAACTGGGGAGCTCTAGAGTCAGAAGGAACTGGTGCGAATCCCAACCACAGTCACATATGTCTTCACTGTAAGAAATCAGGCAAGTCATTCACCCTTTCCAAGCTTCAGAGTCCTTAAAGGTAAAGTGGTCAAGATGCCAGCACTCATCTCGGAAAGAATTATAACTAAATAAGAAAATGTATACAATTAATCTGCATAATATAGTGCCCAGCACATAATAAAATGTTCAAGCAATGGGAACTGTTATTTCAGTCCTAGGTCTATTGGTTTGTTCCAATGTGAACTAAAGCATGTTACTAATTCTTAGCCAGCCTCAGCTTTTAAGTGGAACTGATGTGAACAACATCACATCCCCTCATGAGGTGGTTGTGAGGATTCAGTGAGATTATTCTGCAAATATTCTGCAAACTGTAAAGCTTCTGCAAATGTTAAGCAAGATTATTATCATCATCATCATTATTATTGCTATAATTATTAGCCCTCAGTTATTTTCTTAATTGAAAAGTTTATGGATTGCTTTCTTCTGGATAAGAGGAAAGAGCTAGGATAAGAGGCAGGTGATAAGGAGAGAATGCAAATGGTCTCTTCAGGGCCTCTTCTAGCTTCCTAAGTATCTGTGTATGTACACAATGTGTAATAATGTATATCACAAATTAAGCTCTTCTCAAACTTAGTTTCTAATGAGTTGGTTAACCCTTCCTTCAGAAGGATATGTTTCTTTAATCGACCTCGGTAAGCTGAAGGGTCAAAAAAAATTTTTTTTAATGGTCTTACCTTCCCTGGTGTCAATAGGAAACAGTATTTACTCACTACTGTTTTCCTTTCAAAAATCTGTCTAGTTGCATACTAGAAACAGTTTCAGCTGGTTTGTTTGTCTTGGACAAACTGTTGAAGTGAGAAGTTTTTGCTTGGCGGAATGTGGGACAGTTTCATAACCCTTCAAGAAGTGCACGGAAGGTGGGTGCCAGCTCCAACAACGAAGGCTGCTTCTAACTGCACCCACTTGCCATCCATTGTCAAGGGTGGCCAGAGTAATTAAGTTAAGACAATGAGCAAAACAACAGATGCAACTGAGACCAAGTCCCTGAGTGCTTTTGTTTTGTCACTGTCATTGTCTGCAACAAAGAAGTCACATGTGAGAGCCTGGGAAAAGAGCCAAATGCAAACCAGACAGCATCCCAGCTGGTTTGAATGGCCTTCACCGTTTGTGAGTGTGCATGGGAACCATGCTACTTGGAGCAGCATCCACTTTACTCAAGTGAGTTTCAGCCCATGGCTTTGCTGTGATGCTAAGAAGAAGAAATAGGCCAGAGAGTCCCTCTGCTCAGACTTAGCACTTTATACCTTTTGAGGCAAAAGAAAAAGAATCTCTAGCTTGGGGACAAAAGATAAGATCTATATGGCTCGCCAATTTAACTTCAATTCTTTTTGCTACAGCCCCTATTAATTTGAAGAGTGAAGCACAAAAAATACCTTACTATTTTCTTCTAAAAATTTGGAATTAACTCAACTTGAGAGGAGATTAAAGTCTTCATGAGACTTTCTTTATCATTTCATTCTTGAGTGTTTTCTGAGTTTGGGCATTGCAGATTCTTATAAATCATCTTTTTGTAAAAGCTGGTAAACCTCCTAAGACAGAAAAAGAAAAAAGAGGTAAAATTCAAATTAGTGTGTCTCTCTGCCTATCAATTAATTTGATAACTACTGTGGCAGAGAGATGGTATCCTTAACAATAGCTGTTTGGGAACATAAGTGATGCTACTCTGTGGTCTCATTTGTCTTTCCTTTATTTTTCTAGAGAACTCCTTTAAGAAAGTAGTGTAAGATGCTTGATAAGGAACGTAAGTGTATCAGTAGCTTAACGGTAGATGCTTTGGACTGCAATAAACGCATGTTAAATGGATTTGTATGTACTTGAAGAAAAAATGCCAGGATATTAAAATGTATAGGTGGCATTTCAAGCTACTTTATACAAATGGCCTGATTCTTCCCACCAGCTTTCTTTGCAGTGGCCACTGAACTAGCTAGTTTGATAAATATTTTTACACTATTATGCCATCTCCTTTCTACTCGGTCAGTACAGGATATTGACCATCAACTCACAAAGTGCTGAGACTTTTTATGAAGGATTTGGTGATAACTCTGATGTTCCAAATAGAGCTGAAGAATGTGTGAAAAGAATTGCCAAGTCCCCATGGGCCTTAGCCAATGGGTGTTATTTTCCCAGTCTCAGTACTGAAACCTCTCATCCTCTCCAAATCTCAGGTCTGAGTGATCTCTAAGGTGCCTTAGCTCCTAACAAATGTGATCTGGTGGGCATTTGTTACCTTAGGCAGAAGGAATGGTTTGGCAATTCCAGACCTCATGGTGAGAACTCTTGTTTTTGGTCCTGCTGGAAACATATTGTACAGAAAAGGGATATGGTGGCTCCTTAAACTTCATTTTATATCAATAATTTCCCATTACATCTTCCTATAGAGGACCCTCCAGCAAAAGTAACACCAAGAAAAGAAGTACCTTAAGTTTACTCATGTAAATGCCATTTCCTTCTCTATTTTTTCAAAAATCCTAATGTAAATTCTTTGCTATTCAAACATATTCAATTCAATTCAAATATTCATATTCATATTCATATTCAATTCAAATAAAATAATACTTACAGGTAAAGTATAATGACTTGGTTCTGCACATAATGAGGTGGGTACCTCACATTCATTCATTCAATTCATGTGCAGATATTTATCAAGCACCTGCAGTATCCTGGGCACTGTCCCAGATACTAGGACTATGACAACGAACAGACAAGTTCCTGCTCCCAAAGGGCTTATATTCTAAAACAACACTCAATATTCCTTAAATAACAGCATTACCTATGATGAGTGAATGGTAGCACCAAACCAAAGGACCCAGGATTTCCACTCCTAGAATGGTTACTTCTCAATAAAGATGCTAATAAAGGGAAGATACACAATGAGTAATTAATCACAGCAGCTAATGCTTGCATAGCATTTACGGTACGCCAGGCTTATTGTAAGTGATTTTCAATTTATTAATCTTGAATCCTATGATATAGATACTATTGCTGTTCTGTTCTATGGATGAAGAAACTGAGACACAAGAGATTGTCACTTGCACAAGTTCACATAGCTAGAAAAAGGAAGAGCTAGGATTTGAGCTAAGCTTAGTATGTCTGTGAATTTACAGATTCAAAATTAATTACAAAACTTCTCAGCCTCCTACTTCTAAAACTCTACCTTTCTCTAAAGGAAAAAAAGGAAAATATCTTTTTTATAAAGATTAAAACCGAACAAATTGCAACAAACAACAGAGGATAACTCCAAAAGGTGATTGATTTTTCTTTTGGTGGTGGTGGCAATGGTTAGGAAAAGAGGTATAGGCCAGAAAGCAGGATTTTTCAGGATCCTCTTCTGGTCAATAAATCTGTGATATAGGCAGATAGATAGAAATGCATCTGTGTATGATTATAAAACAATCTGTGGTATTCATATCACCAGGGTACATACAAAAAAAACGTGAGTGGCTGGGCATGGCGGCTCATGCCTATAATCCTAGCACTGTGGGAGGCCGAGGCAGGTGGATTGCTTGAGCTCAGGAGTTTGGGATCAGCCTGAGCAAGAGTGAGACCCTGTCTCTACTAAAAATGAAAAAACTGGGCAAAAGGATCACTTAAGCCCCAAAGTTTGAGGTTGCTGTGAGCTATGATGCTACAGCGCTCTATTAAGGGCCACAAAATAAGATTCTGTCTCAAAAAAAAAAAAAAAAGCCTGAGTGAGGTTTGGCCAAGTATTAAAGGCCTGTCCACTATACCTAGTATATGGTCCTTTCAAAAAAAAACCCAAGACTCAAGTTCTCTATTAGCAATGGGTACATAAAGCCTCATCAAGTTAATGCCACTTTTTCTCCCTTATTTACAGGAAGTACATTTGAAGAACGCAAGTCGAGGGAGTGCAGGAAATAAGAACTACAGGATGTAGGAGACCCTCAGGATGAGGAGTGAAGAATGACAAGTCACCACAAGATCCTTTGCTCTGCACGAGTTACCTGTTGAACATTGGAACACCTACCAAAAAAAGAAGTTTGATAACATTTAAAAGATGGGCATTCCCCCAATGAAATATACAAGTAAACATTCCAACATTGTCTTTAGGAGTGATTGTTAAAGCTTTGCACCTTGCAAAAATGGTCCTGGAGAAAAAAAAAAAAAGTATGTGTTAGTTTCAAAGAATATATATATACACATATCAAATATATATATATATATATATATATATATATATATATATATCTTAGTCCCTGCCTCTCAAGAGCCACAAATGCATGGGTGTTGTATAGATCCAGTTGCACTAAATTCCTCTCTAAATCTTGGCTGCTGGAGCCATTCCTTCAGCAACCTTGTCTAAGTGGTTTATGAATTGTTTCCTTATTTGCACTTCTTTCTACACAACACAGGCGGTTTGTTTTACAGTGTCTGATAATCTCGTTTATCTGTCCCCATCACCTCTTTTCATAACCTTTATATTTGCCGAATTTGGCCTCCTCAAAGCAGCAGCATGTAGTCAAGTAGCACATAAATTTTTAACCTGCCAGATTCCATCTGTGGCATTTGTACCAAATATAAGTTGGATGCACTTATTTTAGACACAAAGCTTTATTTTTCCACATCATGCTTACAAAAGTAATGCAAATTATTGCAACTTTGAGGCCAATCATTTTTAGGCATATGTTTTAAACGTAGAAAGTCTCTTAAACTCTAAACGGTTCCCTCGAATGATGACTTAGTGTGCAAACCGATTAATAACTTTTCCCTTTTTACTTTTTCCATATAGAGCACTATGTAAATTTAGCATATCAGTAATACAGGATATATCAAACAGTATGTAAAACTCTGTTTTTTAGTACAATGGTGCTATTTTGTAGTTTGTTATATGAAAGAGTCTGGCTAAAACGGTAAAAGGTGAAAGCAAAACAGAAGGAAGCCTGGAGCCAAAGAGAAAACACAGAGAAAGAGGACTGACAGATCCATCTATAGGGGAAGGCAAGGAAAGCCCCCCCCCCAATTATACCTTCCAACAGGAACTTAAGACACAAAAGTCTACTAGTACAAATTTGATTGGCAAGTCCAGAGAGGAAGCCTTGGAATGGGAAATGCAGAGGGCTAGGAATTCTAATAGTCCTGGTTTCTTTTTCTCACTGAAGACACAAACATCTGCCAGCTCTGCCATGGATTCACCACTGTGTGACCTTGGGCAAGTCACTTCACCTCTCTGTGCCTCAGTTTCCTCATCTGCAAAATGGGGGCAATACATCATCTACCTACCTCAAAGGGGTGGTATGAGGATTAAAATGATAAAGCTTAAGATTTTTACCCTGGGTTGCTATGAGGGTACAACATCAGAGCCCTTGCATTGCTGGGATGGAATTCTATAAACAACCCATTCACCGCATAATTAGAAATTAATCCTGACATCCAAACTCTTGTCTGTGAAGCTATCCATTTAAACTGCCCAACTGACCTGTTGTTAAAAGCTCAATCTCTTTTAAAATACTTTTTAAAAAATAAGTTAGAAATATTTGGTTTAGAATTTGATTTTGGATGCTGCATTTAGATTTATGAATATAAGGATAAGTGGAAGAGAGAAAAGAAACAAAAAAAGGAGAAAAATGAGATTTCTACATCAGTGAAAAGGAAATTAATTACTTCTCAATTCTTGGCACTCACTGACTCTTCCAAGCAGTTTGCTAAATATCTAATAAAACCTCTTTTAATATTATAAGTAATGCTCTATTAATTTTAAAAAACAGGTTCGGCACCTGTGGCTTGAGCAGCTAAGGCGCCAGCCACATACACCTAAGGTGGTGGGTTCAAATCCAGCCTGGGCCCACCAAACAACAATGATGGCTGCAACCAAAAAATAGCCAGGTGCTGTGGCGGGCGCCTGTGGTCCCAGCTACTTGGGAGGCTAAGGCAGGAGACTCGCTTGAGCCCAGGAGTTGGAGGTTGCTGTGAGCTTTGATGCTATGGCACTCTACCCAGGGGGACAGCTTGAGGCTCTGTCTCAAAAAAACAAACAAACAAACAAAAAAAAACATTTATTCCTTCTTTCTAGGCAATATAAGAAAAATGATCCAAGATTTTAAATATTGAAATAACATCTAATAAAAAGTCACAAAATTGCTTTTTTTAATGGACTTTACTCTTATTCTTAACTGAATATACTTATACACATTTGTTTTTTGTTAAAATATGGTTGTCTAGAGTTGCTAGCTGAGTGGTAAAAATTTCCTTCACAGTTAGAAATTTCCCCTTATGTCTTCTTGGAAGGATAGCACAGAGCTCTCTGTGGATGTGTCTTATCCATTCAACTGAAAATTAGTATCAAGAAAATCCCAGGGTGAGGATGGGCCCATTGTAACCTAGAAAGTGGTTAGAATAAGGAATTGTCTAGCATGTCATTACCTTAGAACATTTTGGTAAAAAGCACCCAGGCTTGATTATTACATGCAAATATTAACCTTCATATTCTTGGAAAATATAAATGAAGAACAAAAACAACATCTTCAGTTTTCCTCCTACTGGGTCATCTCAAGATTCAGAGGCCAGAAAATAAACAAACAAAAAGACTTCCTGGATTTCTGAATGTATGCAAAAAGAAGGGCCTATTTAGTGGAGCACTCCTGCTCAGTCAACATGCATTTAAACTCTCAGTCCAGCCTTATTACACTTGAATTGAGGCCCCCCAGGGTCATGCTGGGCAGCGTCCTGATCACTGCAGACAGATGAAAAGGAAACTAGATGTCATTTTAGCCCTCCGCCTGTAAACAGCACTTCAGATTTTTATTTTTTGTTCCCAGTGTGTTCTTTTTAAAATGACCAGCCCTCAGCGAAACCTTACAGGCAGTCTTCCACAGACTTAGAGGTTTTCTGACGTAATTGGATACTGTAACTCTAAGAGTATCTGTGATTTATTTTATTCATTTAATTCTATTCACAGTCAAAAATCTCCCCATGAGGAACGCTTAAATATGTGATGCCATCTTATCTTTTTTAACTTTTTCCTCCGGGCAATCCTCTACAACTGGTTATAAATCAACTAATTAAAAATAACTGATGATGTTAATTCCACTATTTTATTTTTAAATGATTTAAGCTAGAAGATAAATAGATAACTCTAAAAGTCAGTTGATGGCTATGTACTACAGCAGAGTAATCCAAGCTTGCCTTGAAAGAGCACCAAAATTTCACCGCTCAACCTGTACAGGCTTTGCTTATGAATTACATGGCTTTATTTTAAAACAGACCAATTTCAAGATGTTTACAAAAGAACTGTAAATGTTGGTAAACATGAGCTTTCAACTTATGAGCTTATTTCCAATTTAACTGACAATCAACAATACTCAATAACTAGGTCAAATTTCTGTTCCCACTTCCCTAAATAGAATAAAATGTTATTTGAACAGTTTAAGATGAGGCTGCACTGAAAAGGTTTATGCATCTCTTCATCAGAATCTGCTCTTCTAGGGACAAGAAAATCTCTACACACACACACACACACACACACACACAAATATTCATGCTAAGAATCTAATGTAATACTGAGAATAAATCACTTCCTTAAAATTCTTATTAAAAATAAAAAACAAAACTCCTGGTCTCCCTTGAGAATCCTTCCCCTTCTTGGAATGTCAATGTTTGTGTAGATGAAACCATCACTGGTACTGTGGCTCCAGGGTTTCTGTAACTAGTTTCTACCCTTGGGAGAAGGCTTAGCATGAAAGACGTAGCACATTTTGCTTTCCCATTTATTGTTTGGCCAGCTATGCCAACGTGGTGCTATTGTTTCTTTAAGAAAGTACTTGACTAAAAAAAAAAAAAAAAAAAAAAAAAAGATAAAACGATAAAAAAAGAAAGCATAGACATATTTTTTTAAAGTATGAAAACAACAATTCTATAGATAGATGGCTTAATAAAATAGCATTAGGTCTAGCCACCACCACCTTTCAACTTTTTATCACTTGCAAGTAGTATACAGTTCACCAAATTGTGAATTTGGGGGTGCAGGGGCAGGAGATGGAAACTCTTAAAAGCTAGGAGGCTGCATTATTTTGCTGGCTCTCAAACTTAGCAAAATTAGCAATATATTATCTAATCCGAACACCTTGATCAAGAGCATGGAGTATGAATGGAAAACAAGAAAAAAGATCTTAATAGGCAAAGGGCAGAACTAAAAAGATGAGTCGGTTACTCATTGATTTTTGTGCTCTCTGTTCTAAAACAGATATTCAGCAAGTGGAGAAAATAAAAACAAAAAGAGAAAAAATACAGATATTTACCTGATAAAAATCACTTCTGCCACATCCCCCTTGGGTATTTTTTGGCATTTACTGGTTTATAGAAGATATTCTTCCTTCACCCAAACATCCATCCAAACATCTCAGAGAGCACTAGCTCTCATAAAAAGCAATTACTGATCTCACTGGGAAATGTTGGGAAGTATTTCCTTATGAGATGAGGGTTATCTACTGACAAAGAGAAGAATTTATGAGAAATCGTTGAAAGAGATGGCTAACAATCTGTGAAGTTTTTTTTTTTTCTGTTTTGTTTTGTTTTTTGGGTTTTTTTTCTTTTTACTCTATACAGTCTTTATGAATATCTTAATGTTCAAAATGACTTGGTCCTTTTCTTTTTTTTTATATTGGAATGAGGAATGATAATATTAAATCCACATAGACTTTAAAACTATAGGCTAGATAGAAATGTATGTTTGACTTGTTGAAACTATAATCAGACTATTTAAAATGTTTTGCTATTTTTAATCTTAAAAAGATTGTACTAACTTATTAGCTCAGAACCTGTTTGGCTCTCCTTATAAGAAAGAGCGTTCCCATTCAAATTGTGTGGGCTTCCCATCAATGTTTTCAAAAGATAAATCTGATTTGTGTTATGGCATCCTTTATTTCAAAACATAAAAATTATGAGTCTTTATGCCCCTCCCTTGCAAAGATCATAACGGCCAGAATCTGAGGGGACAACAACAAAAGGAAAATGTTGATTCTCTGTTTTTGTTTCATTTTCAATGCTAGCGTTTATTCCCGTAGTACATATTTGCTTATTTCTCTTGTAATATTCTGTAAGAC